TTTCGGTGATTCTACCGTTAAAGCATATAAAATGGTTCTGGATGATGTTGGTTTGAGAGATGGGACTTATGTTATATGCTCTGTTGGTAACGAGAGCAGGTCGGGTGGTGTTTATATGTCTGCAGCGAATTTATTTCCTTTTTCTTTTTCTTTGTGACTTAGAATAGGGGGTGAAGTGTTTTTCGATGCGGTTTGACGAGGTGAAACCTCAGTTTGTTCATTGTATCTTAACTTTAAAGCTTTGAACTTGTACGCTACTCTGACATCTGAGGACGTGAATTTCATCACTTTTTATATGGTCTTTCTGATTTTGATCGATTTTTATGTTCGTATGTTGTTTGGTTTGGTGACTTCGATCAGTAGTTATGTTTGGTTTGTTGATTGTGATCAATATTTATGTTGTTTGGTTTGGTGGATTGGGAAGCTTCTTGGTGAGCATTATTGGCAAAAGTTGCGTAACTCCTGAAGGATTTTGACATCACACTATCCCTTTTTTGTGTTTGAAAAACAAAAAGATATTTATTCATGTCTTATGAATAATAGGACATTTGAACTAACTTATGCTGTTAAGGGCTCTACTGTTTTTATTCATCACAAACTTAATTTCGCAGAAGGAATTTGTTAATGCCCAATGGACCTATTGTTTTCACAAATTTAATTTTGAAAGTAAAATAGGTGTTGAAAGTAAAATATGTGGTGTATATTATAACAGAGTTAGCAGCATAAATTCAGCTGTGAGTTTAATTGTTAGACGAGTTGACGCGTAATAAATTATGATAGAAAATAAATGCTTATACTACTAAATATTAGGTTTTATATTTATCTTGTTTTTATAGTTAATTGTATTCTTTTTAATGAAAATTCTCCTCAGTGAGAGAATGGTTGGACTTTGATGGATCAACATATTGGTAGTGTTAAACTGTTAATCAACATTAAGGAAAAGAAAAGATCCTACACATAACATGATAACACAGTGCAAACATCTAAAAGAGCTATACTTATTTAGCTACTTTTATAAAAATGGCGTTTTCATGCGAATGCTTGTATTGTCATCTGACATGTATTATCAGAATCTATTACAAGTAAAATATCTTTTGTTGTTTCTTTTCGCCAAAGAATAGTGTAGCGTCGTTTTCTTTGTTTTGTTCTATGATTTTGCGTGTGACAATGACTTAATAGACTACACAATAACTTCGTTGCGATTGTGCAATTACATGAGTTAGGCCCTAGGCCTAATAGATAAAAAGACAAACTATTCAAATTCAGAGTCCAATGAATAGAAACTTGAAAAGGTAGTTATAGATTTGATTTTTAATCTTAAAACAATCTATACTTATTATTACTTATATAATAAGAATTAACATTTATCTAAAATAGTAGGTCAAATTATGGTCAATGTCGAATTTGCATTAATATTTTCCAAAACTGGTAAGTTTTTGTCTTTTTCACATTTTTCATTAATTATTCACACTTCTCATTAATATGTCATTTTCACACTTGTCATTAATTATGTCCTTTTCACACTTCTCATTAATTTTGTCATTTTCACACATCTAATTAATTCATTAATTACGACATAATTATCATAAATCATTTTGATCTGAGCTTTAATCGTTAAAATGTATAGCGATCTGTTATGACTTTATCCCATTGATATTTCCATGAAGCGTCCTTATCGCGTTCTATTTTTTGGTAACCACTCTATATCAATAACCGGATATTTGGTTAATGATAGCACACGTCTTTATTTCAATGAGCGGATATTCTTTGACCTTTAATTAATTTGAACTGATTGTCTTGACTTTTCAATTTTTAAAAACTCTTTTTTTTAAATATTTTGGCTTAAGATTCGGATTTCATTATACAAGTCATCGGATTGTTTGAATGAAAATGAATGAAAAGAACACCAAAAACAGGTAGCTTTATTCATATAATCAATCCTAAAATATTAGTTTGTTCACCAAAAAGAGACAAATCCTAAAATATTAGTTTGTTCAACAATCCTAAAATATTGGTTTTTTCACCAAAAATATTAGTTTGATTTTTAGGATTTGTCTCTTTTGAAAATATTAGTTTGTGATAATGAGGAGTTACCAAATAATCAAACTCATAATATTGTGTACAAGGAGGTTTTTAATAATATATGATTGTTACCGAACTTTTTATGATTCAACAATGTTCCTATGTATTTTAATGATTTCAATTTCGATCCTAATACACGTGAGATTATATTATTCTTTCAAATGTTACATCCCGTGCATCGCACGGGTTACGTACTAGTATTATAATGTACAATTTGTTAATCTATATGATAATACCTTAACAAACAAGAAATCGTACAATTGTTGTTGCTAATTATTAATTATAGCGAGAACCACAAGTGCAATCGCAGTCATTAATGTCAAATAAATAATGACTTGTGATAGAGGTAGTCCCCATTTATTTTGCAGAAGTTGAAAGATTTTTCGATCATCTCTAAATATATACTACTACATGAGTATCACTTCTTTGAGGCAGTAATTTATTAAAATTTTTAAATCGAAATATTATCTTAAAAAAAAATTCACAAATATTAGTATGACATTTTATAAAATATGTATGTATTTTTATTAATAACATCTACAAATTTACAAAATCATTAATCCCAATAGATGACTTGTAATTGACCTTGTATGGCAATTAGAGTTTTGGAGCTAAATTAGAAGCTTGATCAGTTAGAATCTCTACTTTAAATATTCGACTCGTTGCAATTTAAAATATTTTTTTGGATAAAAAAAGGTAATAAAAGATTGAAATTTAGGATAATTACATATCAAAAAATATCTTTTATGGATCAAAAGGAAATAAAATATTGAAATTAGAGTATATTACATATCAAAAAACTAATTATTTATCAAATGTTTATGCATATTAATCAATCCAATTAGATAGTCCCTACTTTAATTCTATTAATTCGCTTATTTGCTATCAGATAATTGAACAAACTATCACGCTAATTGCCACAACAAATATATTAACTCACTATTTAATCCGCCAATAAATTCATGGCTATAACTTCCAAAACTGAAGATTTTCCCAATCTGTGTACATTTATGGAGGCTTTATCCAAAAACCCACCACCATTTAGGCAAAAAATGGAGATTAACAGAAAATTAGGAAATTTACAAAGGCTCCGAGAAAAAGGCTGATTGGACCCTCTACCGGACTTTCATCTCCACGTCAAAACCAAGAAAACAGNAATGGGGAAGGTGGCGGTCGGGGCGGCGGTGATTGGGGCCACTGCGGCGGTCGGGGTGGCGGTTCACGTGGTGAGGCGGCGGATGAGGGGCTCTGGCAGGTGGGCCCGCGCCATGGCCATCGTGGACGAGTTTGAGGAGAAGTGTGGTGTCTCGTTGGGAAGGTTGGGACAGGTGGCGGATGCGATGACGGTGGAGATGCACGCCGGTTTGGTGTCTGAAGGCGGCAGCAAGCTGAAGATGCTGATCAGCCACGTCGAAAATCTCCCCACTGGGTAAATGAAGTTTCTTCTTCGATCTGTTTTGTGTTGAGACGAAAATTATGAATTTGGTGATTGTTTTTTGTCTTAAAGCTTGTGAAAAGATTGATGGATTTTTGAATGGGGGTGTGAATTTGTCATGAGATGTAAGGATATGAAGGGTCTGATTCCATTTTTTTTTTTTGTTTTTTTATTCTTGGCTGGGATAAATAATCTTGATGTGGTGCAATTAATCATATTAGTTTGTGGACAAGGAAGCTGAAGCAATTGAATTTAATTGTTTAATATCAATATCAAGTAGGTTACTTTTTCAAATGATGGATTAAGAGAAAACTTATATTACATCTCTGTTTGCAAATGGTGTTTGACTTTAACTGATTTTTTTTTGGTTAATTATGTTTTTACAGAGGCCAAAGCCTATCCAGTTAAAGAGAATTTATATATCCATATAGTGAAAATTGTACCATCAAATTGTGGAGATGGAGTAAAAATTTGGTTTATTAGCTCATTTGCTTGTTGTATAACGAATGGTTGCATTTGCTTACTTTCTCTAGCAAAAACTATGGCTAAGACATTTGTCTCTTTCGCGTTTTGCCGTTTCTCAGAGATGAGAAAGGAGTTTTTTATGCACTGGATCTTGGTGGAACAAATTTCCGAGTCTTGAGAGTCCAATTAGGAGGTAAAGAAGGAGGAATAGTTCATCAGGAATTCACTGAGGCATCAATCCCCCCGGAGTTAATGGCCGGGACTTCGGATGTACATACATCATTTTCCAAGATAGTTTGTTTTTTCTTTATTGAGGTTATTTTCTCTGAAGTGTTTGAAACTAATAAATGCTTTTGCCAGGCGCTTTTCGATTACATTGCTGAAAAACTCGCGAAATTCGTTAATGAAGAAGAACAAATATTTCACGATCAACTTCCCGGAAGGCAGAGGGAGTTAGGTTTCACTTTCTCATTCCCCGTGATGCAAAATTCGATAAATAGTGGGACCATTATTAGGTGGACCAAGGGTTTCTCCATTGATGATGCTGTAATTTTCTTTCTTTCTTTTTTCTTTTTTTTGAGCTTATTTATTTAGCTTGTTTTGCTCTGTTAACTCGTGTTCTTTCACTTATGTTGATTATGTTCGTGTCTATAGGTTGGCCAAGATGTTGTGGCTGAACTTGAAAAAGCTTTGCAAAGAAAAGGTGTTCAAATGCGTGTGGCAGCTCTGGTGCGTTTGTGTGAAATTACAAAACCATCCTTGGGTTTTTGTATAATTAAAAAATTATTATCTCCAATTACAAATTTCCCTCTCAATCAAAATTAAAATTTTTACCTTCATGCATTGCGAATATGCTTAGGTTAATGATACGATAGGAACATTAGCTGGAGGAAGATATACGAACAATGATGTTGATATAGCTGTTATTTTGGGAACTGGAACTAATGCTGCATATGTCGAACGTGTACAAGCCATTCCAAAGTGGCATGGTCCTTTGCCTAAATCTGAAGAAATGGTTAGAAATGTGTTTTTAATCAATCTTTTCTAATTTGCAGGAATAACAATAACAAGAATGATATTGTCAAAAATGATTATCGAGCGTTTAGAATCTTCTGTTGTTCAGGTTATAAATATGGAGTGGGGTAACTTCAAGTCATCTCATCTTCCACTTACCGAATATGACCACAGATTGGATGCCGAAAGTTTAAATCCCGGTGAACAGGTACTAATATAACAGGCACATGTTCCATTTCATTATAGTTGTTGCATTTAGTTAGTTGAATAAGGGGATAATGATATGTTAAAAGAGTGAATACCATATTGCCATATGTTTTATCGTGTAATGCCTCGGTAGAGAATTTGTAGTTTGAAAAATAAGTATCTGTTTATTGGTATTATTATTTTCGTTTGTGAATTTGTTGAATTTGAGCCCTCTCCACAATTTTCCATGCATTTTGTCATTAGTAATCCAGAAAAAGGTTTTGCTTCGTGAAGGCCATCCACAATCTCCATCTGATTTATGAAATTCGTGTGTGTATTCTTTCAGATATTCGAGAAATTAACTTCTGGAATGTACTTGGGAGAAATTTTACGGAGAGTTTTACTTAAGTTGGCTGAGGAAGCTTCCTTCTTTGGTGTTGGAGTTCCTCCCAAACTTAAGACACCTTTCATTTTGAGGTACATCACACCACTAATCATGTTTTCCTTTCAATAAAATTTTCAGCAGAATGAGTATATTGAATGAAAAATCTGTGCCATTTGAAATTTTCTCGTCTCATGTAACAGCGCTCGGGATTTTTCATTACTAAATTAAATATAAGCTTTTTATAAATCTTTGCTCGGGTCAATTTCCGAATTCACATCAGTGTTTCATTACTCAGTTGATTCAGAAGATT